AGACGGCACCTAAGCGAAATCTGAGGTTCTGACTCAGCTTCGAAAAAATTGGGCTCAGGTTAGTCATGGCTGACTGGTAGCCAAGCAGCGATACTGCGACAAGCATACTGGTGATGACTGGTTTTCGAGCTGAAATAACCTTCAGTCATGTCTTTTCGCAAAGAACAATACCTGGCTCACTTGTTCGTGCCGCCTGCATCATTTTCCTGATTACCGGTAGGAAATTCCATCCCGAGACCAGTCATCGATGGTAGGTGAGCTCCAATCTGCTGCTGATTACCCATGAAATAGCGCACATTCAAGTCAGGTCGAAATGTCATCTGCTAGAAACTCGTCTTCAGAGGTAATTTGGCCCGCTGAACATGAATATCATGGTATTTCATTGCAAAAACCCTTGTGACATGTGTTACGGGGGGGGACAAGCACAAACACTCTCTGGTATACAATTTGGAAAGGAAGCTGATTGCAGGTTCCCTAACAAGGTAGTGCAGCCGAGAAGAGATGTTATAAGCTTTGTTGGCCACTTTCGTATACAAGTGCAAAAAGTTGCGACCTATCGGGAACCGATCCCTCAGCGTCTTCCCTAGGAAGCCCACTAGCTATCCGTTGCGCTCTACTAACACTTTTCAGAAAGACTTCATACATTTATGTGAAGACGCTTCCACGTTTCCTCGCGATAGCATGTAAAACAACCACGCGGGGATGCCCTCCATAACTCCGCTCAGAGAATCGTTCCGCAAATTCTGAAGACAGATTTGAGTTCACCGTCTCAAGACGCGTACAACGATGTGCACCTCATTGGAAATGGCCAAGAAAGGTCAACAGGCTGACCTGTTGACCTTTCCTGGTCAGAAGTGAGTGCACGAGTGAGTGTAGTATGGTCTAAATGGCGATCCATGTCTGGGATCCTTTGCGACAAGAAAATGTCAGAGCATTTCAAGTCAAAGATCTATCGTACTGTCGTCCGACCTGTCGCGTTATATGGTGCCGAGTGCTGGCCCGCGACCAAAGAAGTTGAGGTTTGCCTTCGGTGTGATGGAGATGAAGATGTTGCGCTGGACGCTGTGGGTGACGCGACCATACCGCCTTGGAACAATGTCGTGCAAAATTACGTGTAGCCCGATAGCTGACAAAATGCGGGAACCAAGCAGTCGGTGGTACGATCATGTGCTTGGCGCGGTAACTGACACGGTCCGTAAAATTGGTGTCTAGCTCGAGGTGCAAGGAAAGCGCCCGAAAGGACGTCTCAAAAAGCGCTGGTTCGACACGTTGCATACCAACTTGAAAGTAGCACATTCCGCTATAGCAAGCATTCAGTCAAGAGAAGTGGCGTTAGATATCAGAAGAGCGAACCCCGCCATTGAGTGGCGTGAACGCTCAAGAGAACAAAACTAAAAAATACTTGTAATTAGGCTTCATAGAAACACCAAAAAGTTTTCGTATATTGAGTTTTCTTCGTATATTGAGTTTATGTCATTTGGACGTTCGATACTGATAATCACAGTAAAACTTGCTATAGTCACAACAAAGTGATTTAAGGTGCTGTCACAAGCGACTATTACCGGAAAGCGAGTCGTGCTTCTTCGATCACTTTTACGATGTATCTCGAATCCATGTATATATTTGATCATTATCGTGTACCATTGAGCGTCCTCATAACAGCTACAGGTCTTCTCGCTTCAATTGCGAGTAAGGTTGGTCTTTTTCTAGTCATCTGAGACGACTCACTTATCCAGGAGTGCGGCACACACTCTTTAGAGCTCATGGGACCCCTTCTCTTCCCTTAAAGGCAGCTTTCACGATGGTTTCCTACTTAGCCTAAAATGCTAGTAGGGCGCTGTATAGTGGGGAAATGGCGAAAGAACGGAGTGAAAACGGTCAAAATCCTGCGAAGAAAAAGCCTCCGTTCTCAGTGACTTGTAAATCGATTTCGGACGAGTTTCCCGTAGGCATCTTGCCAATCACCGCTACCGAAGATACGGCTGCATATGTGTACCCATGTATGCATGCAGCATCACGGCCGCTTCATACCAATCCCTTTGCTTCATAATTTGCTCAGCAAATGAATGAATACGAGCGTCAGAAACGGTCGTCCGTTTGTGGGCGGGCGGGCAAGGAAGGCGTTTGGGACGTAAAGTTGTTGCTCAATAGGGCGTTATAGAGGTACCCTCCTTGGAAAAGGCTTCACGCAGCGCCTGTCCGAGGTCACGGAATTCTGTTAAGCCAGTTGTACAAATCCTACACCTGTATAGCGATTTATCGTGCCAACTGCCTTTAACGTGGTTCCATGTTGCCGTAGGATTCGCTGCGCTCTTCGCTGTTGTTCTTCTTATTTATGGAGTTCTTCTCTTCTATGCTGAGGTTAGAGCGACATTCCGCACTTACTCAACAGCGGAATATCTTCATTGTGCTAGGCAGCTACTCCGCGTGCTCACTGCTACAGAACTTAGATTGCTTGCACTACTCAAAAGTGAATGACAAGGGTGCCTGGCTATTACTAAGCAAACGAACGTCACCCACAGCAGGACCACAGTCGAAGATAAACGGCATGAACTCTTTTCTGGACTCTTCGCGTATCCTCGTAGGAGTGTTTTTGCAATCTTGCTGTCTCTACAGAGTGGTCTACAATACAATTAAGCGGAGATGTAGTATACAATAAGCAAGTGTAGTGTCTGCAAAAGTTATGATAAAAAGTAAAAGGAACACACAGAA